TCCACAGGGGTTGGCACCAGATTTTCACAAGATATAAAGCCTGTACCATTCCATCAATGCATTACTAGATCAGACTGACAGTGCTCGGTTTATACCCCACATGCCAAACTAAAAAGAGAAGCTGTAGCCAGCAAAATGTTTTAAACTGCCACAACTTGGTAGGAGCTGAGAACTCAATGCAGATGATCTTTACTGCTCCATTCGTGGGTCTGCCTCAAGATGGCAAACTTCTGCTGTCTCAAATGGACAGAAAAACATGACATCATTCTGTTAGTGACATGCTGTCTGCCAGCAAACTTCAAACAGCCATAAAGTAAGACAGTGATAAGGTGACGGCTCTATTGGCTGCTTAGCCGTGAGGTGAGGAGAACATGGACACTAAATCTCTATGAGTTGAGCTTTTTCTTCAGGGCAGCATTTCCTTTTTGATGGGCTCATAGTTACTTTTCCACTCACCAGATGTAGACTTTGTGTAAAAGCCTTGCATTTCTACGTAGTGCTATTTTTGAAATCCTCTTTGCTACAGTAAACAACAACCTACATACTGAAAATGACCGCTTTGGCAGAGAATTTGGAATGTGCAGGTTTGAAGAAAACACAAAAAAATCCTGAGCTTTTTTTCCCCTATGGCTGAATGATAATGAGGTGCAGGAGACAGGAGTGGCTATGTGAGGGTATAGGCACAGCAACAGAGGACCACTGGCGTCTGCACATCCTGAAAGGTCTAGCATTTAATTCCCTCAAAATGAGTCTTAGAATGTTTTAATAACTCATAAACGTCTGTTTCAGCCTAATATAAAAGTCATTTATCTTTCTTGCCTGCTGTAGGCAGCAATAGTAGTTATGTTTTTTTTTTCTGATTGGCTTTTTGGAGACATTATACATGTGTAAATTAAAGGTAGGACTGATTTGACAGTGGATTGTGAGCTGCTGCTCAAAGCAGACCAGCTAACAGACAAACCGGCGAGTGCATCAAACAGAGCTACAGCGGGGGCTTTGTCCATAAGTACAATTTTTATTTGGAAGTGGGACAGTGACTGTTATTACAGTACAGTTAAAGTATCACATTACTAATCTGTACAGTCAAATGCTGTACAGATTAGTGTTATACAGAATGGTGTCCATGTTCTAATTACTTTAGGAAGGAAGGCTGAAGCCTACACTGTTAATCCTAAATGCTAAATTCTGGCTGAAGTGGTGCTAACAAAGGACTTGAACCACTGACTCTTGCCCTGGCTCCATGACAGAGGCTCACCTATCCTTGGTTGTAATTGTATGCAAACTGGTCTACTGCAGTTGTGCACCCTTTGGTATTTGGTAATCTTGAAGAAATCTGGTCATGCCACAGTATTTAGTGCTGTCCAGTCACTTTAGCTGTCGACCACAGCTTCCTGCATTCATGAGCAACAGATCCAGCAGGAGGGATGATAGCAGCACTGCCAATAAGGTCCTGTCATACATAGTGTTCAGACACAGCACGGCATGCCCATGCTCCTTGGGAGGGGATGGAGAAATGACTGCTTTTCTAAAATAGCCCCAGTCCAATCCTCACAGAGCAACAGCCCACCACCACTGAGCCCCACAGGCCTTTCTGCTCACTAATGATTTGTGAATGTGTTTAGCTGTCTGCGTCCTCGTCTGTCTTCCTTTCATTGTTTACAACATGTCTCCTGCATCCATACAGTCTGTGTCTATGAGCAAGTACTGTTGCTTATTGTATTCATTTGAGATTTTTGCTATATTTAACAGAATTTCTATGTTTTTTAACCCATTCTTTTTATATAATTTAATTTATTTATATTTATTTGAGGAGATTTCCTTATTGCCTTCTCGAGATATTGTATTGTAGGCTCCAGTGTGTGTTTTTGTTATTGCACGAGTGTGTGTATGTGTGGATGTATGGTCAGGTGTGTGGTTTTCAATATGTTAGTGCACATACTGAACATGCTGTCGTATGAGTGTGAAACTTGTTTGATTAATTTTGGTTTTTGTGTGACACACCTGAAGGGTTGATTGTGAATGCTCCATAGAACCACACACTCAGAACATCCTGGAAGAAACTGTTCCACCTAAAAGGTCCAGGTAACCCTCAGTCTCAGACTGAATCTCTGACTAAATGAACATGGTTTTTGTGAAGAGACTGGGATGAGTTGTGTGCGTGTGATGTGCAGCTCACTCACTAACATACACAGTCCACATAGATAACATGTACATTGATACTGTACAGACTATGTAAAAATAAGTATATACAGAAAAAGAGGGGAGAAAGCACCATAGGTAACAGTGAGATAACAGGGTGGGGGTGTTTAAGTTGTTTTCTTTTTTTAAGTCTTGTTAAAGTGTAAAGTTTCCTCATATTGTTAGAGGTCTACAAGTGGCAATTAATTCCATTTCCTAAGTGTGTAGATTCCACAGGTTTCTACCTACTGTCCATTTAAATAACAGAAAATGTTTTTACGCCCTGACATCTGTAACCGGTCTGATTCATACTCTGAAAAGAAGTCCTTTGTCTTTTGGGAAAATGTTGGACACCCCTGGACTCCACAGTACAACCACCTGAGATCAACTACTCCTTTCTTGTAATCAGATTACACTAAAGTGTCACTAAAAAGTTAAAATGTTCTTATTAATGTTTAATGAAAAATCAAGTGATTAGTATGAAAATACTACAGATGGGACAGCTCGACTAACAGTATACAACAGAAGTGAAGTTACCTCGGTGCAATATCACTGAAATGTCAAATGATTCAGAATTGCATCCCCTTACAGTAATTGCATTACTTCTACATGAGCACCAGGCAATTTGCTGTTATGTAAAATTTGAAAGCCACTACACCTTTCATTACTGAGATTTAAACCTTATTTTTTCAATACGTAATATGTCTACCTTTATTTCTGATGAGAGACTTTGTTATTCTTCACAGACTATTTATTTTCGGCTGTTGTTACTGAAGGTGTAATGTTTCTGTACTTTCTCTATAAAATACTGTAAAGGAGTTCTATTGGACCCAAGTCCGGTTACACTCTTGTTCAGGTCATAGTTTTTACTTTGTTCTGTTTGTTCGGTATTAACGAGCCATAGTACCACTAATCAGAGCTGCAGTATTTGTCCTTCTAAAATGACACTACAGAAAGTGCACCTACCTGCCCAATCTATCTGTGAAAAACAGACAAGTGCTTTAAACATTTTTGTGATTTTTTTTTTTGGATCATAATCATGCTGGGTTCCTTTTCTGCCAAGCTTCTAACCACATCCATGCGGTCAAGCTAATTGGAAACCACACATTTACTCAAATGCCTTTTCAGTAATCAGTTATATTCACTTTTGTTGTATTGAGTTTCTACTTTGGGGCCTGCATATTCAAAAAAGCTTATCTAAATTGCTTGTTTTCAATTTTTCATGAGAAGAAATACCTTAGTGTTCAGATTAGAAATAATGTAATTGTTGAGAGGTGATAGTTTTAAACCTTTTCACTGGTAATATTGCACACGATTGTATTCACTTTTGTTGTGTAGTCTATGTTATAAATGAAAAAGCTCAAAGTGTTATCTAAACTCCACAATGCGAAAGCGTTTTACCTTTCATAGTAAATGTAACAGCCACAAAAAAGCAGGGCAAAAGATCTTGCAATATGTCATAGAGAAGAGATATGATAAATTGCATTAAAAGAAGTAACAGCACTCACTTTGTAGTATCCTCACAACACTGAAGAATGAGTGGTGAAGAATTACATCTAAAGCTCCTTTCTCAGCCACTGTCAGATGGTTGGTTTGTCAGACTCAGCCGTCCACCCTCGTGGAGAGTTTCACGGACTGCTGGACGATCAAACAAGGGCATAAATCATACTGATGCCTTCTCACCCACTGCTAGCTTTGACCCGTTTAAATGATACATCACACCTCCCAACAATTTCAAACCTCCAATTTGCCAGTTGGACCTTATTTTCATATTTAGACCATTTCGACAGGGAAGCCTTCACATGGTTTTGGCAGTAGCTGTTTGTTGCCTGCAGTGTGTCGACTCATTATGAAGCTTCCAGGCTTGATCGTTGTCCTGACTTTACAAAACAAAAAAACAAACAAAAAAAAACAACACCACCCTGGCAAGCCTTCGATGAACTGGTGACCAGCTTACAAACTGACAAGATACAATGTGAGCTACACTTGTAAGTAACCACAGTCCAATTTGTTTCACACCGACGGAGATGGAAAACATGACTCCTATCACTCTTTGCTGCCATCTGCAGCCGTCAGTGTGCTTGGTTACAGCAGCAGTTTGAAATCGTAAAATGTTTCATATTATGATTGAATTGGTTTTTGACGTGAAGGTTAATCATCTGTTGTGACCATTGTGTCGGGAAAAGCAAAACAAAAAAGGGACAGAAATTGCAGTTAAAAATCACTCAGAAAAAAATGTGAACTAGCTCCTCATTGAAAGTGACTTCTTTATGACGTATGAATACAGCCAAATGTTGTTTTTATTTCGTGTGAAACCACTAAGTAAATAATAAATCTCCGCAGTGGTCGAGCTGAAATGTTGCAGCAGTGTGTATGAGTGTGTATGTGGTGTGTTTGTGAGTGTCTTTGTTTTATGTAAGAGATGGTTGTAGACAGACCCAGCAAATCAACCAATTAGCATGCAGATATAGGGTCTTCACTCTCTTCAACTTGAATTTACTAAAACATGACAATATACAAGGAAAACAAACTGAATTTACAGTAAAGAAGTGCTTCAGTATTTAGCTTTAAAAAATCCACTAAGAAAAATATTAAGCTCTTTTTAATCCATTTTTCCTGATTGTTTTTTCTACTTGGTTCCTACTAATGATGAATTGGTAGTCGGTGTCGATGCTGTTCGTCTAATGTAAGAAAGTGACAATGAAGAGAAGGTGCAAGACAACTGCTGTGAAACTGCTCTGCACCGCGACGTCAGTCCTCCAGGTTTTTCAGTTCTATCTTGTCCTGTCACTCACACTCTGTCTGAGAGAAGACTCTGGAAGTGTAACAGACGTTGGTTTAATAAATTACTCAAATGTCAAACTAACATTGGATGCTCTTTTATTTTCCTGTGCCCTCGCACACACAAAGAATTTAATGTGTCACAACTAATGATAAAGCAGAACTACCAACACTCCTTTGAACTTCTAAAACCATTTCTCTGCTGCGCGTCCGTATGCTCAGCGGAGTTGCATAAACTCACAGACGGTCAGCCACATAGGAAAAAAGTGACCGATGCTGCAGGTGGGTTTTTAGTTTGACAGTTTTCCTACACAATGAAAACTTGACATTGGAATCTGTAACTGCACTAAACTGAGCAGTCACTCTTCTGAAACAATAAGAAGAAAAAAAAAAAAAAAACTTTAAATAAAACAGTATCTTTTAACAGCTGCCTTTGGATACTGGGGTTCTTCCCAAACTCTGTTCACATATTGCTAACGTGGTCCACCATTGTGTCAGTGGATTTCCATCCTTCAACCAGCAAAACACTGAAGGGACGAAGCCTCTTCAGTGCAGCATTCCACGTGTCAGGATCTCGATCCCCTGGGTTTCTCCTGAGGTCAAGGGTCAGCTGGTGTGGTGGGCGATGTGTCCGCAATCTCTTAGCAAACTCCAGCAGCTCGGCAGGCTGGATGAAGTTGGAGCTGTCCAGGACAAAAGGTAGCACACACACATCTCAATATAACATGCAATCCTGTCACTACACATTTAATAGAGGAGGAAGTCACAAGTCAAAGCCCCTCATTTTACTCTGATATGTCAACGAAATGAAACAAAGAATTTGGAAACTGGTTTGTTCAGATTGATTTCGAATTCAACCGGGAAAGTTTTGTCGTGATATCAGTTAATACATTTTAAACAGTTGATTCTAAAAAAAAAATCACATTTTAAGTCTTGTTTGGCAGCGTGAAAACAACTTAGCAAGAGGAGCCAATGTGGAGACATTTGACTTTGGACTAGCTGACAGTAAACTCTTTTGTTGTTGTTCAGCTCTGACCTGATGTCGAGTCGTTTCACGGAGCTTGCTGAGGATCCTGAGAACAGCTCTACCAGCACACACACGTTCTTGGCTGTGGACACAGATGGTGGTGTTAGTTTAAACAAGACATGTCCTTTCTTAACTTCTCATGACTTAAAAAAACCCTTTTTTTCTGACCTCCTAATCTCTGAACAGAATAGTCTGCATAAACCTGCAGTCATACATATTTTGACAGGGAAAACAACTTGGCATAGCAAACATGTTAGCAACAGTTGTCTATTCACACATGTAGAAACAAGGAGCAACAAAAGCATTCATGTGGAGAGGTCTGTGTGTATCTGAAGAATTCAAGTCCAATCCTCAATTTCCCTTTAACTCTGTTCTCAGTCTGCAGCTGCGAGGTGCTCTAAGGTGTTAACCAGCTAATCTCAAACTGTGTGTACACTGTTGGCTGCTGGATAGATAGTCGATAGAGGGTTATAATAGCTGCAGTAATAGCTGCTGGCTGCTGTCTAAAACTGATTACACAGCTTCAATTTGGCTGATGTAGGAGTGGAGAGACTGACAAACAGGCCCTGTAGTGTGGCTGATCTGTCGGCCCTTTCTGCTGGTGTAACAAAGACCACAACAAATCTTAAATGTGATTGTGACGACAGCCAGCAGGAGTTTAGCTTAAGGAGGAAGAGAAAACGAACAGGAAGAGACATCTACTCAGGTACATTCCTAATAGAAACTCTAACAAGTAAGTTATCCACTTTGCTCCAGACTGCCACCAATTTATTTGCATATGTGACTATTGTTTGAGTGTGCCTGTTAAAATTTCACATGGTCTCATCAGTCTGATGCCCCTCCCACCAGCATTGACAGAAACTGCTATCGTAGTTGTGATTGAAAGTTGTACTGTTCTTTTTCCACTGGCTCAGTCAGTCTCTCTCTACCTGACACCTGAAACAATCCATTTAACTGTGTCCTAAAGAATAAGCAATCTATAGCTGATTATTTAAAAACTAAATGAGGAAAGTGAGGAGGAGGCTAGTGAAAAGAAAGACTTTCCAGCTCAGATGCACCTGGTGATGAGAGATGAGACAGCATCTGAGCCGGTGAAGAACAAAGTGCTACATCCAATCAGAATGGCTAATGCAGTACAAAGGCTGCACAATTAAACACATACCAATCACAATCACAGTTTTTGCTTCCCACAATTGAATGAATATGATTTTCTGCGATGTTGACATCTGAAATGCTTTGCTCATAGAAAACAGCTTATGTAGATAAAATCACTTTGTTTCCACTTGGGTAAATCTGACATCACAAAACCTTCTTTTCCTCTGTTTCAACTAATTTTTGGTCACACAGCTGTCTGAGCTGTTGTGCTGCAGTAAAAGAGAAGAGACTAAAGGCCTTTGTGTGTACAACAACTAGATACTGGTGTACATTATTGTCTTCACGTTATCTTTCATACAACCACAAGATCACACTAAACACACATCACAACTTTTTCAAATTTTTAGATTTTAGTTATGAAAATGCTTTTATAGAATAAAGACCAGAAAAACTTGGCTAAATAAAATGGCAACAGTGACTTCACTGCCTGTTTTAGTTGAAAATAAAAAAGGCAAAAGTGCACTCTGGAAATACTCTGGGTACATGACCAAGGAGGTGACACACTTTGACCGGCCCGTATCAAGCAGTGCTTCAAGGCGAAGCCACCGAGTCAAGTAACACGACATCTGGAACACAGACAACCCAAACTCTACGACGAAATGAAACAGGTTGTAAATAATATAGTGTATTACTAAACATACGTCTGGTTGCACCAACAAATTAGTGCTTATTTAGTTTTAAAAAATCTCCACTAGCATCAAGCTAAAGCTAAGGGCTTGCTGTTTGTTCCAGATTAACTGGTGATCCTATTAACTGGTGATACTAGCATTTCTGAGACAGATGTTTCGTAGGCGTGGCTTTTGAGGACCCCTTACCACTAACCAGGAAATAAACAATTTGACAAGCTGGTCTCTAAAAGTGAGATTTCTGCTGTACTTTTCTTTTCGGTCTTGACAAATATATATGGAAATAAGAGCCTTTTCATCCTGAAAGTCAGACGCTGTCAAGCTCCATGAAAGAAACTATGTGAGCGCAGTCGGAACTGCTGGAGCTGTGATCGCTCACTGATGACTATTAAAACATGTTAGTACGAAAGCAACAGAGACAAGAGACCAACAGTGTGTACGTTATTTTGACATGAAGGCTACTAAATTGTGTGGTAATAGAATGTCAAGTGTTTAAGTATACCATCAATACATTGACATAATGTTGGCAGATTTAGATCACGTTGCGCTACACTGGCTTATTTAAATTCCCAAACATCAAAAGTTTCACACGACAGAAAGAAGGTGATCCAGTGTAACTGGAGATGTTTGCTGTACTTGCCCTCCAGATGATCCGTTTGCAGTTCGTCCCGACCAGACCTGTCTGTGTGTGAAGATAAAGATATGACATGAAGAAGACCTCACCAACAAAAGTAAATGTAAATAAAGTCTATATCCATGTCAATATCATCTACAGACAGCAAAACCAAACATGCTGACCAAAATAAAAACGTATTTTTTAAGACCGGTGGGAGGATTCAAAACCATGTTATCCAGATGTAAAAATGCAAGATAAGTGCTTTACGCACTGTGCCACCAATCAGCTCAATAGGACCCTTCTCATTCCTGACAGATTTCATTCATTGAGATCGTTTCCATTCAGCCAGATGTTTAACACCTGGTGATTACTCAGGAAACACGCCCAGATCAACTGGTGATAGTCACAACTTCATGTCCAGAGATACGGAGCAGCACTTCACGCTTAACTCTGGTTTGTTCACCAAAACACACACAGCACAACATTAGTTTGGTTTGATAAAATGCATCAGAACAAACTGAGTCCACGTTGACAGAACAATTCACTGAGAAAACACTACAAACACGTCCAGTCCTCCACGTCGTGACCTGTAATTTCAAATGATGTCAAGCGCAAATACACACAGACAATGGAGTAGAACTTCCATCAAAAAGCGATATTAGTGTTTTAGACGCTTTACACAGCAAGCTACAGGCACCTATTGGTGATGCTGAATTACCGTTAAATTTGAACATTAAACATTCCTGTCAGAAGTATGATAACAGGATCGCTTTAGTGTCTATGTAGACCAAGGAGGACTAGCAGCATGTCATTAAATAAAATCCTCTCAAACATACAGTTCACACTCCAGCCACGATCTGACCTCCACATGTACAAACTGTGTGCTGAAGATATGCAGTGTTTTGGTTGAGTGGGAATGAGAATCAAGTTTGTGAACTGTTAAGTGTCATTTATTGTGTTGTCTAAGAAGTGACAGAAAAACATTTTGTCAGCTGTTCAGATTGTGTGACATTACAGGTAAGGACGTGGAGGACTGGAAGTGTTTGTGGTGTTTTCTCAGTGAGTATTTCTGACAACATGGCCTTTGTTCTGATGCATTTTATCAAACCAAACTAATGTTGTGCTGCATGTTGTTGTGGTGGGAGGCTGCTGTGTGTGTTTCTGTGAACAAACCTGAGTTAAGCTTCAAGTTCTGCTCTGGATATCTGACACTATATGCACAGAGGAACACACAACACAATGCAACGTGCTTCTGTGTCGACGGTTTTGCTTCGTAAGCAGTGACATGTGGTCAGGGGAGGCAGGTGAGGCAGAGCCTCACTTGCCATCATGGAAAGAAAAAAAAAGATAAATAATTTAATTGACTATATCTATCCAGTGATTTGTACAAGAAAGTATTTATTTTTCCATTTAGCCTCACCAAGTTTGATGATTTTTTAAAAATTCCAAATCACTGAATTTTCGCAATTTCCCATCCAAATGCTTGGAAGAGAAACACAGTGAGGCAGCAGCGAACTGAGCCTCACCTTGGATTGCGCAATCCCTCGCTAACTGCACTGGCTGCCATACAGTGACAGCGTGCTGCTGTCTGTATGTCACCAATAAAATGGTTCAAACACATTTAATATATGAACTGATTTTCCATAGTTTAGCTGATGTATATAATAATGTACAGTGTTTTTTTTGTCACCAACTGTATGTGTGTAACGTGTTTTGTGAGCTGAGTGATCATAAACAGCTGTCAAGAGGCTCAAGGTGAGGTAGGCAGTTCTCTTGCCTCATGGCAGGGGGCGCTCGTGATCCCAGACATTCTTCTTGTGACTCCGCGGCTGCAAGTTAGTGACAGCAAGCTAGACAAGGTACAATATACAGTTAGCAAGTCAAGTGCAGCGACCCTTTTTTTTTTTTTTTTTTCCCTCTCACCCAGTCTGACTTTCAGCATGGAGGACTACATTTCTAAGCTAAAACAATTTTCCAAAGTGGACTTTCAAAGTAACTGATATTTTTGTCCAAAAGGAGCGGCACATGGACTTTATTTACAAGTAAAGGTAAGACAGCAATAAGCCGTTTTTTTGTAAAATGAAATGTGCGTTTTGTGGGCTACAGTTTGTATGTGTAAAGAATGCGGATATAAAACACAACTCATAAACTGCTGCCAATCAAATGGCAAATGAGCTCCTCTGTAGAGTGCATATATTTGTAAATCTGATTGTGATGAAGTCAGTACCTCACCCGCCATGAACCTCACCGCACGTCACTATTGGTAAGACAAAAATTTGTTTTGTTTGTCGTTATCAAAGAGGCCGCGTATGTCTGTGTTAAGTTGTGACTATCACCAGTTGATCTGGGCATGTTTCCTGAACAACCACCAGGTGTTAAACACCTGACAGAATGGAAAAGATCAATAGGAATGAGAAGGATCCTGATCAAGTTGAGCGGTGGCACAATTAGTAAAACAACGAACTCGCATTTTTACATCTGGACGACACGGTTTCCAATCCTCTCTCCGGACTTGAAAAATCTGTGTTTTTATTTTGGTCAGGATGTTTGGTTTTGCTGTCTGTAGATGATACTGACATGGATACAGACGTTATTAACCAGTGATGTTTACTTTTGTCGGCGAGGTCTTCTTCATGTAGTATCTTTATCTTCACACACAGACAGGTCTGGTCGGGACAAAACTGC